TCAGGCCAGCAGGCGAACGGAAACCGAGAGCGGCCCCGGAGGAGGCGGCCGGGCCGCCGGCGGAGGCACCGCGCTGCTTTCCGCTGGCGTCTGCCCTCGGCGAAAGAAAAACTAAAGAAAAAGGAAAAAAAGCAAGCATATGCGCATGCACATGGTTGGAAAGCCTGTGACCAGCTGTTCGCGGCTGCCAGGGTGAGGGAGAGCACAGCGAGATAGTACAAATAAAGGCATGGCTCTAACCCCCTCTTCCCTTTTGCCCCAGAAATCCCTGAACTGGATTTACAGGCTGTATCCTGGTTTTTAAAAGACTGAAAAACAATTTTCTACAGCAAGGCAAGACCTTTACATGCTCTGAGCAAGTGCTTGCTCAGCTGCTAGCATTAGTATAGCTTGTGAACATCAAAATGAGAAGGTCTGCCTGACTGCCCTGTAGCAGGGAAGTGAGCATCAAAGGATAAGGCTTACAAAGGGGACCAACAGGTTGCAGAGCTGAAAGCACCCACAGTTCAGAAGTGCTGCTAAACATGTCAACTCCATATGCAAACCTCCCTCTAACCATTAATGTATACAGTGGATGCATCCAGCTGTTTGCAGCTTCATAAATCTCATATTCAAATAGATGACTAACAGGTACTGGCCCAATACAAGAGATCTGCTTTCTAAAGCCATGGCAACACAAGGCCACTGAGAGATGGGCTTGCACTGGAAGCATGGGGGGGGGGGGGGGGGGGGGGGGGGGGGGGGGGCGAGGCAGAAGGAAGCGCTACGACTGGCATCGCATTTTCTACTCTGTTCTAGTCCATCTTTACTCTCAAGTATTTAATGTTCTTTCTTTTCTTTCTCTTGAGTCTGCTCTTTTGTCTATTCCACCCAGTTCTAAAGGGATTATAGGAAATCTCGTTTGAAACATCCCCTATACCACCATGATGTAGTATTGTTGGCCATTGTCCTCTCAAAGGGCCCTGGGGTAAGAAAGACTTGCATTTGGACTTTCAGTATTAACCCTACATGGTGAAATGGACCAGGTAATGTCACACTCAGCTGAAGGTCATCCACCCCTAGCTGGGGAAATGTCAAACAACCGGGAGAGGACAGCTTCTACAGCAAGATAAAGACAGATGAACAAGCCCTAAATGGCAGCATCAGTCACCTCTCCATTCTTTCTACGTCCCTCCTGTGTGCCCCTCCTGTGCTGTGAGCAAAGCAGGAGCTCCTGGACTCCACTGTGCCTGAGCTCAGCTGCCACAGAAAGGCACATCAGCTGTCAATTACAGAAGAACAGAAGTAGCAACTGGTGAGTTTAATATTAAAATGAGCAAAAATTTCTCCCTTTGATCATGCCTTGTGCCCTCCCAGGGGAGCCCAGGTTTCCTAGAACCGAGAACACAAACCTTCTCCAAAACCCCAAAATTTATTCTTCTTCTTCCAACCACCTGCAGAGCCAATATTTCCAGGCAGAGACCCAGGCGACCCTGACCCTTAGCTCTGTGTATACCCCCAAGTGCCACTTCCATGTCTCAAGAGCACATAAATGGTTTAAAGTAAATAAATCATATACACAATTACAGAATTAGTCTGGTAATGGATCTGGGATTCTGGTTTGACATTATACCTTCCAGCTCTTTATTTGGTATGGAAAGGAAGGACATTGACCGTTCCTGTTCACCTCTATAAAATAAGTGAAGTTCGTTAATTTGCAGCCTAATGATGTGGCAAACAGCCTGCTTTGACTTCTCAGGGATCACTTTTGGTTTTGTTTATCCAGTCTGCTGCAGTAAGAAGATCCCTTAGGGCTTAATTTCCTTGTAACAGGGTGGAAGTGTCAGCCTTCATGCTAGTCACCCAGCTCACCCTGCAGAGTGCAGCTATCAGATGGGCCAGTAACAGATCTAGCAGAGAGCATTTCCTGCTCAGCAGCTGACTTCACAAGTGCCTGTTACAGCTTTCACTCTACCAGTGACAAGTGATTTTAGCACTCAAGCTCCATCTAGCACAGAGAGAGTGTGTTCAGGGACTCAAAAATCAGTGTTGCAGCCGGGTAGAAAACATCCTGTCGTGCAGAAACCCAGTCCTGTGCTTTGTCTGAGAGCAAGAGGGAATCAAGCTCCTTGCCTATCACTTCTCCAGCCTTGCAGATTGATGTACTGCTCTTAAACAAAACTGGCACAGAGAAAAAGCACCTGCATGGAGGAGGTGGGATGGCACCTACTGAGTAGGGTGGCTCCAGGCTGGGTCCCACAGAGAGTGGGGATGAGTCCCATGAGCCTGGAGATGCACCTGGTGAGAGCAGGCGGCTCTCCCAGGCTTTTGTCTACCTTTTTGCAGGGCGGTGGTGCAGTGAGCCGGGCTGTGGCCTGTTGAACCTCCCACGCTCATGTCCATGGTGGCTGTTTTATGCTGCTCTTGCACTCAGTGTCTGGGTGCTGCAGTGCAAGCGGTGGGTTGTGGTGGCTGAGAGGATGCTGTGTTGTGTACTGTGAGAATAAGCTGTGGCGCAGGTAATGCCTTAACCTAACCTGCTCATGCTGCTGCAAGTCACGGTACTGAGCAGTTTCTTGGAGATCTTTCCAGGTGAGGCTGTAGGAAAAGTGTTAGTTTACCCTCTGAAACTCTTGTGGTGCTTGGAAGGGTCCCCAGGTTACCCACCAAATCCTGCTTTAGAGTGCAGTCCAGCAGCTGATGGGGGGAATGCTGCTGGTGTGGTCCACGAGTCACATTTTTCTGCTATTTTCAGAGCCTGTGGTTGTGGTCCTCAGCTTTAGATTTTGCAGGTCCAATTTTTTGCAGGTTGCCAGCTGTAGATTTTCCCCAGGATCACCACCTGGAAAGTCACAAGCAATTGTCCACGTGGCAGACAGTGAAGCACCACAGGTGGTCTTGAGGCATTATGGCCAGCCTTAGACCAAAATTAAACTGATGGGAGCACAAGGAAAGAAACTACCAGGAGTGGCAAACATGTGATGGAAAAGTGTTTGGCCAACCCTGACCTGCCTCTGGAGTAGTAAGGCAGTAATGGGAGAAACTACCAGGGAAAAGGTGTGGAAGGAGACTATCAGGGAGCCTCAGGGTGACCAAATGACAGAAGATGTTGAAAGGGGGGAAATGCTGATTTCCTGGTGTCGCTGAGCATGGGTGCAGAGTCAGCAAATAAGGCTGCTGAGTCAGCAGGATGGGGGCAAATGAGGAAAGCATGAATGGAGCAGATTGTTTATTTCAGAGGGGAAAAGTGAGGGAAAGGCAATATCAGGCCAATGACATTTACTGGGTAGACTGAGCGTGTAAGGCCAGTTACTGTAGGGACCTACGGAGTGTGTGTGTGTGTGTGTGTGTGTGTGTGTATACGTACACGATGGTCTTTAGCCCAGCCATAGGTGCCCACTAAGCACATGTTTAACTACATTTTGGAATCCTGGTGGTTCCTAAAACATCAGAAAATTAGAGTAAAAACATCTACTGAATCATCTTAGACAGTTTTCACCAAAAGATCACTCCTCATTCCTAAAGCATATTCAAGCCTTCCACTGCAAATAAATTACTCCATACTTCAGTAAAAAGAAAAAAATTTTTAAAATGCAGTTTAACAAGTACTGTTAAATGTAATCTTTTTCATAACCCATTAACACTTTCCTTTTGCTTGACTGAGTCCTCTGACCACTTATAAAATTCCCGACACTTGGTGGAGATACTAACTGGCCAACTGTTAAAAACAAAGAAAATAAGCCCTGATGTTTATGGAAGCTTTTTAAATACTCACACATACGCACCCACACTTTTTCCTCTGCTTGGAACAACAAAAGCAGCTTGAAAGTGCAGTAACTGCTGAATGCTTAACAGCCCTAGGGAGGACGTAGCTTTGCGTCTCCGATCTTGTTAACAGCTTATGAGCACACGACTTAGCTCACACAAATGTTTCCACCAAAGAGGATGACTTCGCATGCACAAAGCAAAGTATTTACATGACACATTCGAAGCACCCTACCTAAGAGGCATTTTCACTAGTTACAGGGATCTCACCCAAGAGCCGCAGTTCAATGGTATAGTATGGAGAAAAAGGAAAAGGCAGCACGCGTAAATCCTTTGTGTCAACCAACCTTGTTTGCTATAATTAACACTCCTTGACACACGTTTTCATATGCAATACAACCAGTCGCAACTGGGAACTCCGTAACTTAATCGTGGAAGGAAAATTCCGAGTACCAGTGTAGAAGAAACACCTCCCGCTCTGCAGGTAAAATAATCCTTACAAATCCGACATACCTAGTTGCGGTGAACCGGAATGGGCAGGAGATGGCGCTCACTTTCTGTAGGTCTTTCCAAGGTTTGACTATGG